AAACCGGCCATTCCCAAAATACGCCGGTCACTACAAAAAATCAAGTTAAAGTCGAAACTCCTTCGTGTTTTTACCCTTTGCTAGGGTCCGAAAGTGGCCCGAATGATACCAGAACTGAGGGGTAGCTGTGTAAGAACTCGTTATTTCAAAAAAAAAAAAACTTTAAAAAAATTCTACGCCTTGTCATTTGGAGTACTTTTGCCGCATCCTTCCTCATTCACCATCTCATTCAATGCATAAACAATAAGCAACTAAAAAAAGCGCTACGAAATGGACTGCGTTTGCCAATCGTTTATGCGTGTCCGTTTTTCAGGCGGTGAATTGGGCTCATTTTTGATATAAGACTTGGGCTGCATAGCTGCGAGCCAAGCTGATGACGATGAGCCAATAAGGTTGAGTTGTTGTTGCCGTTGTTGTTGTTGCTCTTGACTCAATTCATGACCGGGTCGTGCAACCTGTGTGGAACTGCTACCGGATGTCCGGCTCAAATCCGTACCATGCCCACCACCAGCTGCAGCAGCAGCACGTGCGCTTGTTTCCGGACGTACGACAAGTTGCAGCTGCTGTGCATCATTCCGTACTTGACCAAGATCAGCTCGTTGATCACGACCTGGTACTGGACTATCTGTACAACTTCGACTGTTGGCTGCAGCAGCAGCGGCAGCAGCAGCTGCTGTTGCTGCTGCAGCAGCGGTGACAACCGAACGTGGACTTGTGGAACAGTCACTGTAATCAGGAAATGTGCTTGTTGAGGGAAAATTCAGCTGATGCGTTTTGACCGGCTCCATTTGCTGCGGTCGATTCACAGAGCTTGCAGTTCCAGTTGCGCCACGTGTACCGTTATAAGAAACAATCGGATGGGTGAGGAACACATTGGGATTGAAAATTTGCTGTGCTATATTGGAAACACCGTTGAAATCGGGACTCGTAGTAACTGGTGCAGTCGATGCTGCAGATGAAGTGCCTGAAGGAGCAGCTGGAGCAGTGCCGTTCGGTAGATTAGGGGTTGAGGAACCGGGCGAATCGTCATCGGATTCGGCGCCACCCGATTTACTTTCCTTCCTTTGCAGTGCTTCCATGATATCGGTATTTGTGCGACTTTCATGCGGCTCATTATATTCGGTATATTTGAGAAGAACTTTGTCCATATCCGTACTGGCATACTGGAACAGTTTGTTGGTCGAATTGAATATAATCAGAGCAATTTCGCAATCACAAAGCACCGATAACTCATAAGCTTTCTTCATCAGTCCAAATTTTCGTTTCGTAAATGTCACCTGAAATGAAAAAAGAAACTGAGAAAAATGTATGTTAAATAGCAACACGCACCAAGAACTGCTAGTACGAATACGTGTTTTCGCACGATTTCGTGCAGCAATAAAAAGTGCAATGTTTAACAGCCTAACTTGCAAACTCATGTTGGAAATGTTCTTTTTGATCATTTTTTTCAGATTCGGGGGAAAGAGATATCGGCTGAGCTAGTGCTGTGCTACACAGCCTCGTGAAATTTTAGCTTTCTTGCATGTTTTGCTATTGCGAGAGAAGCATACCGAAATTTTTGCAAACGGAATTTGAAGTAAACGTATGAGATGTAGGCATATTTAAGTTCATTTTAAGGGTTTGCACATGGACAGCAAACATTCTCATAAAATCTTCAGCTTTCTAATCAGTTTGGTTCTCCGCTAGAAGGATGACAGCAATTAACTAAGGAAATGTGCTTAGCGTCTACTGTTCTGGGAATAAGAAATCCCTCGTCGAAGTGCAGATTCAGATTTCCTGTAGGTGGGTGTTAAGAAACATTTAGGATCAAAATGTTACATGTTGTTTTAGAGAGCAAACAGAATGAATGTTATCAGGCTGGTTTATGATTTTATGACCGGAATAAAAACCTATCAGCTGTCGCCCACTTCTTTCTAATTCCTTTGTGATATGACGCCGGGAAATCACCAAAGATCTCGTTTGTTTGCGTGTTCTTGCTCTTTGCGGCTAACTAGATAAAGAATAACGTCATAAGACGCAAAAAAACCCTTCTTATATTAATTGTATATGAGGTGAAGGGACACAAAAGTGCTCAAATATCCGCCAGGCGACGTGCGCTTTCCTT